AAAAAAAAGGCAGAACTCAGCACAAATTTCGTTATCACGGGGGATCGCACCCCTACTGTCTTACACGGGCACATGCTGCGCGCTCACATCGTCGCAAAAAAAAAGTTAGCTATAGTTGCACATTAACAATGCTCACACACCGTGACGGAAAATCAAGAGACAACATCGGGATTTTACAAGATAACTCTCGCGAAAAGAATACTCATAGTAAGCACACCACGTCAATATTTCCAAATAGAGATAATACTCCTGTTCTTCATGTAGATGTCGCCCCCTGCGGCACCATTCGCACATTAAACCCCCAATTCTTTGACAATAAAGGCTCAAATTTATTGACAAAAGGTCTATCCAATGATAGGGCGGATTTCGAGAGCCCGGACTTGATAGACGTGGGCAAGAGCCAAACAGAGACAGGTTTGTAGTTTGTCGGCCAATCCCAAGTGCCTGCAGGGCCCGGTGGGCGGGCCTAAGCCCTATCTGTGAGAGAAGGCCGAGCGCTGGCTGGAAAAGCGGAAAGAAAATGGCGGCCGTGGCTGCGGAGCCTGGAGCTGCTGCGGCATCAACGACAACAGCGGGGGACGGAGCGGAGCCCGAGCCGGAGATAGTGCAGCCTGCCCTGGCGCAGGCCCCACTCGAGGCCGAGGCCAGCGAGGAGCGTGCCCCAGGGATGAACCTGGCGCTCCTGCCCGAGGACGGGGATGCCGCTCAGGAATGCAGCCCGGTGACCGCCGAGGCACAGGGCAGGCCGGACCGAGAGGCCGCGGGGAAGGCGCTCGCTGCTCTTGCGGGAGGCGAACAAAATGCAACGGGGAGGCTCGGGGAAGGCGAGGCAGGAGCCGCGACCGCCTCCACAGACCCCGAACCGGACCCGGAGAGCGCGGGGGACCCCAGCAGCGACGCGGAAAGCGGGGAGTCGGGGTCAGCCCCGAGCGTGGAGGCGGCGAACGAGGTCAGCAGCCACAGTTCCCACGCCTGTTCTCCTCCAGGTCCCAGCCCGGATTCACCGCGGGCGCCCGGCTCGGACCCTGCAGCAGACGCGCAGCCTGAGCTGGCGAGCCCCCCGCGTGCTCCGGGGGATTTCCACGGTACCGACGAGCACCTGCAGCACCGCCCCGAACCGGACCCGACCGAACCGACTGAGACTGGGGGCGAAACCCAAGCCCCCACAGAGCCACTGACGGGACCGCAGCCCGCCCTCGAAGGCGGCGCTGAAGTGGCGGGGTCCGAGTCCTGCTCCGGCGATGCCCCGCCGTGTGCCGATAACGCCGGGTGCGTCAAGATGGACCCGGTTGCCGAGACCGAGGAGCCGCTCGGAACCGACGAGGGGCGAAAGCCACCGCAGGCGGCCGTTGTCGGCCACGATCCGGTCCAGGCTCCGGCGTCGCCTGTGGCCGATTCAGCTCCTCGGCTGCCTCCCGATCCCACGGACCTGCGTGCGCCCGGTCAGCAGCGTGACGCGGAGCCCCCGGAAAGCGAGCCCGAGCCGAAGCCCACGGGGGCCGGGGGAGACTCGGTCCTGATCCGGCCCGACTGCCTCGCGCACCTCATCCCCGGCTCCGAGGTCCGGGTCTCGCTGGACCACATCATCGACGATGCCCTGGTGGTTTCGTTCCGGCTCGGCGAGAAAATATTCTCCGGGGTTCTGATGGACCTCTCCAAGAGGTAACGGTATCGTAATTCTCTCCCAGGACACGCCTTTGCACGGGGAATAGCTCAGTCACCCAGCACTGACACCGTGCACCTACCTTCCCTAATTATTTCTTAATCCCTTTCTCGCGACCGAAGCTCACACACCCTCTTTCCGAAATTAACCATTGAGCACTTTTAAAAAAAAAAGTTTGGCTGCCTGTTAGGAGTTTTATTTCCCCCTGTTCTGTAGCAGCTTTTTTCATTTTTAATCGATGCAGCGGTGGCACCTAGGGGATAATCCCAGGTGTCCCAGCAGGCGACGCGTTGGCTGGAAAGGAAAGGGGGAAAAAAAAAGACATTTTAAGGAAACTTCTGCGGTTTATAATAACGGGGTTCTGGTTCCGCCTCAGAATTCCAGATTCTGCTGGTGGTTCCGGGTGTTGGACGGTTTTGGTGGGAAATGGGACGTTAAGATTTTTCTTATTGATTGAGGTTGGTGATGGAGCGGTGTGGAATATTTAATAATTAACCCCTTATTTAGGTTGCCGTGCTGTGGTCCGCACTAGCGGAACTAGGAAATACAGTGAGCACCCGAAACACGTGTCTGCCTCAGTGACTCGCACAGGGCTGGAAGGGTTTTATTTGGTCGGTGAATGTTCTCTCCCCGGAAAAGTGCAGTGCTGTCCCACTGGTGTGTGCCCGCTCTCGTGTACAGAAACTAATGGGCCGCCACACTTCTCTAGGCCTTGTGCAATCTGTCAGGGGCTCAGATCACACTCTTAACTCGCTAAGAGCATCTACCCCCGAGGTCCAGAGGGGTCCCTTTACAAGAAGGGTGGGGGGAGTGGGGAGCAGGCGGCCCAGCCTTGGCGTTGCAGCTGATTCCCTGGCTTCCTTCAAGAAGCTGCAGAAGCAGATCCCCAGGCGAATCATCCACTCGTGGTCAACCGGGCTGCATGGGCTCCCCTCGTTTGGAGCTTTTCTGAGGGCAAGTTGGCTGCGCAGAGAGGGTGGAGATGTGCAGCCCGCGCCCACAGCTGTGCAGTTGGCTCCCCCGGTTCAGTGCTTTCTGTGCGCGTAACCTCCTCCGGACAGTTGGCTCATCCCCTCGGGTGTGCTCTGCCTGCTGTTCTGTTTACAGGAGGTGGAAGGAGTCGCTTGGGAATCGTGACATTCAGCCGGTTGTGGTTTAGGGCGTAGACGAGCTGTTGCTTTCTGTGGTCCTGTCGGCGTCGTTCCTCAGACACCTTGTCCCCCCTTTAGTTAATTCTTTTACCCGTTTTAGACATTTTGTTTTTTTACACCGTCCTCGGCACCCTGATGGGTGGGTGTGAAATCACTTTCAGTTTTAAAACCTGTGCAGTGCACACCTTGCTAACGAGCAGCTTGTCATCTCCCTGATGTCTGAGTTCTCTGCTTTGAGCGGTGAAATATGAATGGGGGGACACCAGTGGAAACTGCAGGGAACAGCATTTAAACCTGAGGGCAGAAGGTATGTCTTTACGTGGTGGTGGAACAAGCTGCCCAGCCATATGGTTTTAGCCCATATCCTGTTTTCCTTCAGGAAGGACCTGGATGGGTCCTTAGATCAGTTGGCTACTAACTGCCAAACATGCCATATGGGCTAAATAGCTTCTCTCACCTGTGACTCTCCTGATGTTCTTTTCCTGTGCAGATATCCAGCCCCGTGTCACAGGGTCTCATTGTGTGGGGCTCAAGGGGCCGAGGAAAGCTTTGGGTTTTGAATACGGACGGCCTGATTACGGACCACCTGAACCCAAATGCTTCCGGTTCATTAGTGTCCTCGTCCTCGTGAACGGCTGGCTTGTTCAGGGCATCACAGTGGTGTGGTGCTTAAATGTGATGGCTCCTGGGCCCTTTTGAGGTCCGTTTTAGTGGAGTCTGCATGTCCCCCCCCCCCACCCAGCTCAAAGGCTCATGGGTTTTTTCCTGGGGTGGGCTGGTGTCCTTCCACCTCCCAGGGAGATGCAGGCTGTCTTTGATTGGCGAAAGTGGCGGGCTTTTCTCCCTTATTGTAAGTCTTAACCACCTCCTGTCTTTTCTGGCCTTCCTGATGTGACTTGGCGTGAGTGTTCTGGCCCCTCTCGTTTTGCTCTCTTCCCCTCTGTGTTGAAAAAAGGTGGACAGCTGAAAAGGGAACAAGTAAAAAAGCAGAAACCTTCGCTCACGATTCTGAAGCGTCTGAAACCGGCGGCGTTTTGTAAGCCGTTTTCTGACTTCGTTTTCTTGAGATTATGAGAATCTTTTCAGATCCCAAAGTGCAAACCCAAATCCCGTGAAACTGAGATAAAAGCCTTCAGTTTGGCAGTAACTCTAGTTTTTTTTAAAATAAGACTGAATTCTCTGCACGTAGTGCTGTGGATTCTGCTTGGCTTGCTGTAGAGTGTTAGACCGGTATGTCACTGGGGGGGGCGAAAATCAACTGGCTGAAACTAAATGTCCGAGATAAATGCAGCAGATCTCTAGTCCTGCGCTTCCCAGCCTTGGTCCTGGTGGAAGAGGGTCTCTGCTGGTTTTTATTCCAGCTGAGCTCTACGTCTCCAGTGCTAATTGATGATTTAATTGATCTGTTGACTCTCCTCTCAAATGATCTCCTCCTTCAGGGGGGACAGTTTAGGCAGCCTGTCCACAGCCTGATGGCCGTTATCTCTGACAGGACAGCTCTTCCTAGCTGATGACGGAACAGACAGAGGTGGTACTGACACTGTATCGGACAGTAGTTTTTCCTTCTGTGGTGCTCCACCCAACCAATCATTTTCTAACTGCTTTATGCAGTACTGGGTCGTGGATGAGCCGGAGCCTATCCCAGCATGCAACAGGACGCCAGTCCGCCTCGGGGTACACAGACAAGCACATGCTCACACTGGGGCCAGTTTTCCCAGAACTCAATTAATTTGCCCGTATGTCTTTGGACTGTGGGAGGAAACTGGTGCACCTGGAGGACACCCAGGTGAACATGAGGAGAACATCCGGACTCCCCTCGATTAGCGCCCCAGGAATCAAATGCAGAAGTCTAGTTCTTTGCGATTCAGTCAACGCATCTGAATCACGGACAGTAGTGACGCTCGGAAATCGTTACAGGGTTGGCAACGGTGACATATTACAGAGCAATTCTTTTTGAGAGCTCAAAGCACATTTACCGGTCTGTCCCGGACAGAAACCTGCTGTCAGTGTGGCTGTAGTGAAGAACTCGACTGGTCCCTGCAGCACCGGGGTGGGGCACCGCCGATCTCGGCTTCGGTATGGGAAAGGCCGAGCTATAACTGGACGATACGGCCCAGCATCTCGGTCCTGCTGTGGACTTGACCTCCCCCCCCCCTCTGCTGAAAGTGCCCGTGAGGGGTGGTCTGCGTTGGGACGGCCTGCCTGAGGAACGAGACGCACACATGCATGCTGCAGGATGGGTGAGAGGCTACAGCTGTGGAGCAGCCAGATCCGCTTCGGATTTGCTTTCCTTTCCGGATAACGGCAGGGAGGCCGGTTCCGAGAGCCGGGATCAGGTCGAACGAGCTCGCTGGCCTCTGGTCAGTCAGAGCCGTGCTTGCTGTAGGGTGAGTGGGTGTTCTTTTATACGGAGCGCCGTCTTCTGTTTATCCCAGTGTCCCTCATGTGATGGGCCTCTGGAGATGGTAGATCATGCGCCATTGGCTCAAGACGGGGGGGGGGTTGTTTTTTGGGATGGGGGTCGAAATGATGGAATAGCACCGATTTCTCCCCTCCCTGCATTGTTATTCATTCGTGCTGGGTCATCTTGATCTGACCCAGTCACTTCCGTAGTCTTGAATGTCACTGAGATGATAGCTCTGCTGTCGACAGGGCCGAGAGACGAGAGTAAAAATTGAAAGGGGAGGGTGAGTGAGGAGTTCCTAGGTGAGTCACTTCCTTCCCCATCCGCCCACGGAGAGCCGATGAATCGGCACAGACTCCGGCAGCAGCCTTTTAACGCCCGAGGTGTTAGTCACCCAGCAGTCACCTCTTGGAAGCGGCCGTCCGCAGGCTCGTGTCACGGGGCGCTCGCCGCCGGCAGGGGAAAACAAAAACAAAACCCGCCCTTCCCTAGAAGTTATCCTGTTGGCCTTTCCGGCCAATTATCCCTGCTCGTCTCCCGGACAATGTGGCCGTGCATCCGGGACTCGCTCCGCCGTCTTCGGGGGTGAATAAGGCATTGGCGATTTTCAAGCGCTGCTCCTCTCCGTGCTCCTGCTCCGGCTCTTGCCAGAGATGGCCTGTTTTATTTTTAGCTCAGAACAGAACAGACCCCGTTTGATTTGCATTTTCCGTGCAGGCTCAGCAAACGCCTGCGCTGGCTGTCTCGGATTTTAATTGCTTCCAAGATGAAATGGACTTTTCTTTGGCTCTACTGAGTTTTGTACCGGTAACCCCCCTTTCCACCCCCCCCCACCTCCTCCACCACCCTCTGTGCAGTTCTTAACAAGGTGTGTCGTTAAGGTTAAGGGATTTCGAGTAAATTAACCGACTTCTTCAGGAACCACAGAAGGAGTCAAGTCCAGAGCCCCCATCCAGCTCCGGACCTCAGCGCTGGCCTTCGGTGCTTCGCTTTATTGCTCGTAAAAGACGCCACCTGAAACCTGGCCTTGTTGTAGAGAGGGACGTGGAAGCCTGGTTTGACCCAGTGCCGCGTTCTTCCTGGACACAGCGGAGGCCTTCTTTCCTCTGAAACGGCCTTGACCTTTGCTGTAGAACGAGCTCCTAAAATCTCTTGACGGCTAATGATTTGCCACTGGGTCCCCCAGGCGCTGTGCTGACGAGGTGTTTAGGCAAACTCCACCGTGTAAGCAGATGTGTAGCTCCTTCACCCTCTCTTCCAGTGTGAAGGTTGCAGTTTGGCACAAAAGCAGGGGCAGAAGAACATCCCAAATGTGAAAGGCTTCCCCGCTGCTAATCTGCGTAATCCACAGTGAGGTTCGGTCTCCTCTGGTTTGATGTTGCGATGGCACTGGGAGGACAGAATTGAAAACCATAGGTGAAGCTGCACCAGTGCCCAGTCACAG